CGTACTGAAGAAACTAAGTCAAAGGCTCTCATGAGATCCATGAGAAACATAGCCAAATTGGATCGGCAAATATTTCTTTGTTAAGAGAAAGTACGATATTTATTGAAGCAACTTAATTAAATTGCAAATTTTCATCAAATAGTGCGTTTACGTCACATTTGGCGCACAAGGCGGACCATGTCAAGAAAATATTGAATAATGAATATTGAATTTGCACAAGCTTTAAATATAACTCAAATTAAGTTCTGCATCTAAAATACACACAAAAATTGGAAATGTATTTATAAAACCATTTGAACCACGAAAGGAGAGAGGGATATATATATATATATATATAGATAAATATATATATATATATATATATATATATATATATTATGATTTTTATTAGACAATTTCACAATTCAAATAGTTATATACCTATTAAGAAAATTATATATATTTATTTATATTTAGTATTATATTCTTTATTTTTATAAAATAACATACTTCCGTAAATTCTCATAATTAATCATAAAATAGTGCGAATATAAATAAAATATAATTAGGTTAAATCGGATAAATATTTAATAAATGTATGCATTGTTAAACATGCTCACGTAGATATTTCGAGTATCTCAAGTTTAATATGCGTGACATAATCTGCATTCTCCGTTTAATTACATTCTCTTGATAGTTTCGAACAGAGTATGAAGTAATTGAAACATTAACTTAATAAATTTAAGAAATCGCGATATCGAGATTCATGTTATTTTATGTTATTTCATGTTATTAAACAAATAACATTGTTAAAATTTACATAAAACTAAAATTTTGATTTCATTAATAAGTTTCTATGTGTTATTATTTGTTATAAAAATATTATTCAATAGATATATATTATTAATATTTATGTAAATATATATTCGTCTTTAATTATTTTTCCTTATATTTTAATTAAAAAAGGATTATTACACATATGTTAGATTATGCCACTCTATTTTGTATGTTTAATTTGTCTCTGACATTTCGTGCATGATTTTCTAAAAATCATAAAAATGCCTCCAACTTTGCACGCCTTCATCTTAAGCGTTGTCATCCACTTTTCACACAGGAGGACAACTATGAGACAAGTCTGAAAAATTACCTTAGCTCCTTCTGCTACAAAGGTTTCATTATGGAGCACTTCTATTTATTTTCCTATCTGTCTCACTCTTTCATCGCATTATGTTGAATCATCCTTAACGAAGACCAGGTAATTGTTCAATTAATATTAATCAAAAGCAAATGGAACAGTTTCCAGAATCGCGATTTTATCTATAATAATAAATTTTTAAAGATTACTATAATTTTGTTATAACTTTGTAAAAAAATACTTTTATTTAATATCATGTCTCTTCTAATAAATACATAACTTATAACTTCGATTTATAAATGCACCTTTGGAGTAATCTTTATTTAAGTAAAACTAGATTTTGCATTCTCTGCATATTTCAAATGCTGTAACACGTACGTCCAACAAATGCTTTTGAATTACTCAATAAGTCTTCCTACTTACGATTCTCTCTCTCTCTCTCTCCCTCCTCTCTTCTTGTCATACTCTCTCTCTCTTCTCTGCTATCCATATAAATTTATTATTAATTCTCTCGCGTATGGAATATAAATATATATATATATATATATATATATATATATATATATTCCTTGTCCCGTAACATGCAGCAGTTCCGCTGGTTCGATTAAACTATAATGACGCGTATCGGTTTGCCTCACTGGGGATCGAAACAAATATTAAATACTTATGTGCACTGTCATACAACCATACGTATCGACTATCATTGTATGTCTTTTGTTTAAAAAGTTAATAAAAGAAATACGACTTCGTAATATAACATCCGTTTACTAGAATATAATTCATATGCAGAAAGCATCAAGAACATACATACATCACATACCTGAAGAATATTGGATATGTGTTTTCAATTTAAAAATAATTGGTAACTGGCAAAAATTTCGATAACAAAATCTTATCATTTATATAGGAGACAAAAATAAAATCTTGAATTTGATAATATAAATTTCTACATTTTACAATAATATCGCCCTATTTACACATTAGTAATAAATGTTGAAATGGGAACACTTTTCAGCAGAATATAATATTGCCATTTTATTTCCATATTAATTTAAAATATTCGTATTAGTTTTACTTATTTCTTTTAAAACTTAAGAGATATAATAGAATCACATTTAATTTTATAAAACATTTTATCTACTTGAAATACGATGAAGCAGATTTTATAAACTTCATATTTAGCTCACAAACACAGTATTCATTTTTTCATATGACATCGTGAAATGTAATAATATCTATTTCACAATGTTTAAAATATAATGTAATTTATATTAATTAAATTAAATCTCCTGTGATTTAATGTTTTAATCCAAATTTAATGTTTTTATCAATTTCGTACGTTGTATATTCCATTTTAATATTAGTCTAGTGTTATTATTGTATATAATTAATAGCATATTACTAGAATTAATAGCATATTATTAGAAAATAAATGATTTTTTTGCAACTGAATATGTATGTACATATGTAGATATAATAAAAATATATATTCAGTATATGAATATTGTCTATCTTTTTTTAATATTTTTCAAAAATAAATAAAATACATAAAAATAAAAAATAAAATAGTTTAATTACAACAATATATTCAATTGAAAAATCCGAATATTTTTTTTATTTATATTGAGTTTTACATAAAATATTTATTAAATATGTATTCTATTTTATTCTCGAAGTTTTACAAGAAATAAATGAAACCAGCGCGAATTTTTCAAATCAATATAAAAATTGCAATATTTGATATTAATTTGATATTTGATATTAATTTGTGCATAGTTAAGAATAAATATAATTCAATTATCATTAAAATATCAATATGTTCTCTCATACGTTATAAAATGCATGATTTAATCTTTTCTTTAAATTGAAATGCGCTTAAATAATTTATTACCCACTGCTACAAATTACTGCTTAAAGAGAGAACCAGGAAAAAGTAATGGGTGGGAAAGATTAAAAAAGGACGATAAAAAAGCAAGGGGATGAACGGTGGGAATGTGAGCGAATGAAGGGTGCGATGAATGAAACATAATTTATTCAATTGATACTTATAAATGATAATAAATGATATTTATTGCATTACCCAGCAGTTACATCAGTGAAATAAAATTAGTACATTGTCAAAGTATTATTATATCGGAGGGAGCACTATTGCATGATGTGAAAAATTCAGAAATAGTGTAATGCAACGCTAATGCAAATTAACTATTTAGGAAAAAGAATTTCCTAGAAGTTGTTTGAAAAAGTTAAATGTCACAAAGTCTTGTAAGAATATAATATACACAATTATGATACATCTAAAATTTATGCTCGCTTAATTGTTTGAATTTTGTGTAAAGCATGGAGAATCTTGATATTTTATAGCAATTATCAAAATTTATAGCAATTATAAAAATCAGTTGCTATATATTGTTCCACGTACTAACTTTTTATTATTATTTAGTTTTTATATCACGTTAAATTAATTATATTATTTTTCTTCAGCCTGATAAAAATTCTTAAATAAGAATAAAATTTACAATGCAATTAAGTTTGATTAATATTAAACTTTTAATTTTTGCGTTAATTGACACATTGGTTTTTTGTAGAATCTCATTAATTTAAAATTTATGTCAGTAGAAAAAATATAAGATAAAACTAGAGTTTTTTCGAAAATAGATGAAATGTAGTGTCTTTCCCTTTTCTTGAATTATTCATGGAGAAATTCATGGAGAAATAATATTTTTTTTACCATGCTATATGAGATCTAATGAGACAGATTTAAACTTGTGATAAAATATTTAATTGCTTTCTGGCAGTAATGCAATCGTGTTATGCATTATTCGTTCGCAGAAGACTCAAAGTTTAATTAATCTCTGTGCTACATTGAATATATAATAATTATGCCTATATACAAACTTAACTGCATTTTAATATGTAAAATCTGACAATAACCATTTAACTTCACTCAACATAAAAATGTAACCACCAATTAGGTGTTGTTTCGGATCCGCTAATTAATAATTATATTCTGTGCGAATGAAAATATATGTGTTTGCTATCGGACAGTTTTGTTGCATAAAGAAGAGTTTATGTAGACAGTCTCTAATTTATCTATACGTTATACGCATAACAAAGGTATACGCATGTATTTGTAAACATTATGAATAAACAAATTCACGCATTAAAATATTAAAATGAAATGTAACGGAGGTAAATATTACCTTCGAGAGAATTAATCAGTATAATTTAGTTGTTTATTTAATGCATGCGTATTTTATTATTCAGAACTCATAATTTTCTTCGTAAACAATAAACAATATCCAAATTTTCACGAAGGTTTATTAAGAAGCTTAAAATTTCAAGCAATTAATCAGTTTTAGTGTAAAAAAATCCGCGCACGTAGAATTTCAATTACAGCTTTATTAACAGTTCCGTTCATTAAGATAAATTACACATGACATTTTCGTCGAGTAAAAATGTCAATTCGAAATATATTACCTAGATTTCCATTATGCGGGATATGAACACGAATCTCTCTCTATTCTGTATTTATTGATGGATATTTCATCAAATTTTTTTATCGCCTGAAAGCTGCCTCCGTTCCGTCATACAGGACAATGTTTGAAAGAGAATTCGGAAATGTTAGAAAATTCATGAGTACTCACATCAACTTTTCACGATCTTTGCCATGGTCCGTTGTCAATCGTCGTCCACTAGGTATATTCCTGACCGCTTGCTGCTTCCCGTCCAGAGACCACGCTGAGAGAGAGTATAAAGTATGAATCGAAGCGCGAAGAACGATTAAAGACGCCACCGTTAGTTCTAGTATCAGCCGCTAGAAGCGCACCGATCGGGAGCGCGCGCCTCGCCGTGTCTCGAGGCTCAGTTCACCGCAGTCAGTCGCGCGCGTAGGTCGTGTCGCGTGTCACGTGGTATCGTTTCGCGTCGCGTTGACGCCGATCTCTCTCTCTCTTCTCCGACGAGAGAACGCACGAGCTGCGCCGATTGTTGAAAATACGATGCCGTGCGTCGCGTGAGAAACGATTGCTCGCGAAGAATTGTTCTTGCGGTACTGGTTTTCGCATGATTGCCGCGCGACGTGTACATTCGCGTACACGTTGTGCGATTGTGCCTGCTTTGCTCATTGTTTCGCATCTTCGTCGCCGCGATCGGTGTACGTTGTTTCTTCAGTGACCCCTGTCGCGCGCGTGCGTGTGTGTATATATGTGTATATATGTGTCGGTTGCGCGAAATAGCGTGACGCCGTGCGCCACGTTTGAACGACCGTTACGCGTTCGGATTCGGGAGTGCCGGTCTCGAAGCTAAGTTCATGGTATCGCGATGTGTCTCGGCTTGTGCGTGCGACGTCCTTGGTGAGGAGATTACAACAAGAGAGCCGTGAAGCGAGAAAGAGAGACAAGGCAACAAAGGTGACGTGCTGAGAGAAGGACGTGAGCGAAGAACATTGCTGTTGATTGACGGATACGAGCCGGACGCAAGCACGCCGATGTTGGTAAGTAACCTACCAATCTCTTTCTTCTCGCTTAGTCCGTTGGTTTCCCTCGAGACTTTGTCGCCACGGGTTGCATGGGTTAAGACGAAGATGCTGTGTGTGTGTGTGTGTGTATGCATGTGAGTAGGAATACGTTCTCTCTCTCTCTCTCTCTCTCTCTCTCTGACTCTTTTCCTCGGATATTACGAGAGTGCCGATCGAGCTTATCTTACGTTACGGTCCGTGGCACACGAGGCGATGCACACCGGCCGTGTTCATTTTATTCGTGTAACGCGCTCTCGCCCGGAATGGAATCTCGTCCGGAGCGAACCTCGTGCGTGATCTCTCGGGATCTCTTTTTTGTCTTCGATTCTTGTCAGCGACGCCGGGCTTTGCTCTTCGCTCGACCGCGCACGATGACGATACCATCTCGTTGCAGTCGTGCTCTCGCCTCTTTGGATCGTATTTTCTATCTACATGTACCTAATATTAATCGCGTATCTAATATTAAAAGCGATCGTCCGATGTAATTTATATATTTATTTCTCTCGTGTGAGGAAAAAATAGAGAAGAGAATACACAGAGTATTATATATTTTTTGAAATAGAAACATAATTTTCATGTGGATATAATATGAAATTTTTATGATTTAATGATACGTCGAAAATATTTCGACGTATATAATGGGAATAAATATTTCAAAAATAGAATGCCAAATGTAGCGAAAATACGGTTGTTTATGTCGATATTCAAGTACGCCGATATAAATTGGTCGCCTGTGCGTGAATAATAACAGAGTCCGAATATTTAAATTATGTAGTGTAAATCTTGAATATTTTTGATCGGCTGAGAATTACTATTATTATATTACCTAATATCAACGTGCGTAGTGCATTTGACATAATAATGGTTAATAATAACATCAATATTCGGAATATAATTTTATATTATGCTTGGAATATAATTTTATTTTATAGAAAGAGAGAGAGAGAGAGAGAGAGAGAGAGAGAGAGAGAGAGAGAGAGAGAGAGAGAGATCAATAATACGAGACAGATTATGTGAATGGAAGAAGTGTATGTTGATTCAGACATAACACTTGATTTAGTACGTATTTAACCTTGCGAGTGTCTTTAATGCCTGATATTATCAAGTGCTGAATTCTTTCAAATGTTTATATACTCGCGTAACCATGAAATTCCTTTAGGATATGTGTACGTAATTGATATTTATACACTTGTTATATAGAATCATATATTATGTCGGATATTTTATCATGACATTCTTTTAATAAGTTAGACAAATATTTTTTCAAATATTTTATTCCAGTAGAGTTTGCGTCCATCTTTTCAATGTATTAAAATTACTATTCCAATCATTTGAACGCACAAATATTTGAAAATTGTTATATTACAGAAAATAATTTTTCAAGATACAGAATAAAATAAGAATTAAACGCGTTTTTTTATTTTTATTTTATCTAAAACACAATTGCAACAAAAATAATTTTTATATTTTATTCTATATTTTATACATATGTAGTATAATTAAAAATATTTTAAATGTTATTGATATTCTTGTGATACATATAACAAGAAGGTAGAATCAATAAAATAAAGATCTCTTGTGTGAAAAGTCTGGAAAAACATACTCTTCTAATATTTACATACCTATATCAATCTTCCGTAAGTCATTGTTGTTTGGAGCAACAGTTTTGCGATGCGAGATATCAATTCTTTCGCAGAAACGATCAATCTATTGCAGTTGGCATAAGATATCAAACTTTTCGAAAGACCGGATGAAAATTTATTTTGATCTCCGTTACCTTAGTACTTTCTTTATCTGAATATCTTGTATCAAATAGATAAATTCTTATTTAATGTAATAGTTTTTTAATTCTTATACGTCTCTAGTATTTATAATTTTTCTATATCAAACATCGTTAAATTATTATTTCGATGAAGTAGGAATAATTGGCGAGAAGTTTACCGCGTATTTTGTGTAAATAAACATCGTTATACTGTCGCTCCCCGAGATGACAAGAACTGCGAGTCTCAGTTTGCCAGCATAATTGGTGCGCGTTGTCAATTCCGAATATACGTTATTATCAAGTTCGAGAACTTTCTCTTCAGGACGAGATCCGCTTTGCAATATTATAAACGCAGTTATTTGTACAAGCTCTCTTCCTTCTCTTCATTGAAAGTCGAGACAACCGAACCGTTCTATTAAAACGACAATCGAGTCGCTGGATAGCGAGCAAGGGTCGACAATTTCGTAGAGTATTTAATTATAAGGCTTCATCTCGTAATTTAGAAGAGTTTCAAATGCAAAGAGAAAAGTCAATTTCTTCGACAAAACGCTTTCATTTATCAAACATCATAAAAATAACATTCGATGGACATTGATAACAGACGTGTACACTTTTGAAATATTTACATCTGTCAGATCAAAAATTCTATCAATAATAGATTAACAGTTTTATATATATATATATATATATATATATATATATATATAATAGACATAAAAATAATAGACAAATTATATATATATAATACATATATATATAATTTGTCTATTATTTTTTAGTCAGTCATATATGCTAATGTAATGATTTATTCATCGAGCTGTGAGCGAGAAACGTGTTGAAACGTTCATTTTCATTTCAATAATATTCCGGTGGATGTATATCATTTTAATACCTGAAAATTTGAAATCGCAGTTTTATATTTTTATATGTATCTTAATCGTATTTTGAATTAAAATATATATACAGCGATTTTTTTGTTTATCAATTTCGCATTAATAAGAAAATATAAAACTGCGCTATATTATGGTTTCTTTACTGTTCTCATTGTATTTTTTCAAGCTTGAACATGGCTGGTTAATTAAATATACTTCTCGGGATTGTTTTCACTTACATATTCACGTACATTCACGTACATATTTAAAGTGTCTATGACCGATATATTTAAAGTGTCTATGACCGATATTCTTATTTAAAATCGCCTTAAACAAGATCTGAAAATATTATACGGTCATCATTGAAATCTTAAAGGGATCTAAAACCATACTTAAGATCGGAAATCTAAAAATAGAACTACTATATGAATAGCCGGGCTATGTGTAACCTATTTGCCGTATCGATAAATAATATTCTTAATTATTTTTATTCTCATATAACATTTGTATTATTTTACTTAAAATATAATAGAACACAATCGAGTTGTACATGTCTTGGTTATATATAAATGCACTGGCATCCGGTAGTCCATTTTGACCATAAACCAGCTACGTCATTGAACTCTTAAGCCATCTCGCCATATTCTGCTTTTAGCCATCGTGATGCGTCACGAGTCTTATGATAAAAGTTACTCACGTCGCGTATGAATCATACGAAGCATCGAGTTCATACTGCCCTGCCTTGAATGTCGCGTGATCTTGCGTGTCGTCTGATCATACCTATCTTCGTGGTAGGCCTCTCTCAACGATACCGCACCTATGTTACCATTCCAAAAATATGTGTCAGGTAAAAAAAAAGTAAGGGTCAGAATTTAGATACAATAACGAGAGACAGTTATGACTATTTTTGGAAAAATGTTTGTTGAAACTGAAAGACAAAATTGGAAAAAAGAAAAGGAGAAAAATCGTATATCTCAAAAGAAACAGATATCTATAAAAAAAGTGGAAGAGAATTAAGTGGTAGAAATAGAGGAAACGTACCAAATAGAACAATAAATCAATGTTCATAGATATGTTCTTTTAATTTTTTTTTCTTTTTTTTTGAGAAGATAAGAGTTAAATAAATTTTACACATGTGTAGCGTGCACAAGGAAAAAAATAAAAAGAAGATAAAAGTATAATTTAAGAAATGATAAAAAAATGTTTAAAGAGAAGAGGGAGAGAGAGAGAGTAATATTTTCTTGAATGAAAGCTTTATAAAGTTCATTTAAGAGATTATTATAAAGCCTGATATGTGCGCATATATTATGAAAGATTCATAATACAGTTTTATACTTTAGTTACGAGATTAGAAACGACAGCTCATATTATGTACGAGCAGATATTATTTCCAACTCTATATATTCTACAAACTTTAAAATTCAAATTTGTATAACACAGATACACGTTCTGCATAATCCTTCTTTTATAGATAGTAAGTTAATTATTTCGCTTATATATAGGGTAAAGGTATTGTTAGATAATACGTTATCTTGTGTGTGTGTGATACATATATAAAATAATATTATTTTCGTCGCTTATATTTGACGCTTATATTACTAAGATTTATATTTCGGAATGGTACTAATTTTGAAGAGAGATGTAGTATTTAAAATAAAGTAAAATAAAAGTATTAAAATCAAAATTATGAATGAATATTTTTTATCGCTTAATCGCTTTAATATTTTTACTTTTCGCATATATATGATATCATATACTGTAACACAAGCGGACATTTGTTTTCATTTTGTTATTTCTTGCTCATCTTTCGATATCTCGCACGCGCAAATCCGACTATAATCATTAGTCACGCTTTATTTCGCGTCATTCACGCTAGAATAGTGTCAACCTTTCGAGAAAGGAACTCTGATTCATGACACGCTTTTGTGAGCTATGCTCGTTGGATCGAATGCCAGCGAGCGACTTGCACGATTTAACGATCTGTGGTTGTGCGCTTCGGCTACGCATCGCGCGACGATAAAACGTTTCTTCGGAATCAGCCGGTTCTTGTCGCCTGCCGTGACGTTATCTCGTGACGAGATCGGAGACGGTAGTATGCGCTTACCGGTTGCGGCACCGATGACCATCGTTACCCTCACAGTCGGCAGTCTTCGTTGAAAATTGCTGAAATAGAAACGTCGGGTAGACATAACATTTTCAGAGAAACCCGTAAATCGTCGCTCTTTCCTTGAATGTCGACTGAGTGGTGCGTCGAGTTTCTTTTAACGGATTTTGAACGCATTAAAAGATTTGAAAGTTAGAAGAATTCTTCTTGAGGATGATATAGCAAATCGTTGTCCACG